AGAGAGAGAGAGAGAAGAGAGAGAGAGAGAGAGAGAGAGAGAGAGAGAGAGAGAGAGAGAGAGAGAGAGAGAAAGACACACATGCATTATTTACATTCGGCCCTTCCAAACACTAATCTTTTACACAGCAGTTGTATTTTATCAATAAAAGACCGACAGACAGGCATAGATAGATAGATAGATAGATAGATAGATAGATAGATAGATAGATAGATAGATAGATAGATAGATAGATAGATAGATAGATAGATAGATAGATAGATAGATAGATAGATAGATAGATAGATAGATAGATAGATAGATAGATAGATAGATAGATAGATAGATAGATAGATAGATAGATAGATAGATAGATAGATAGATAGATAGATAGATAGATAGATGGATGGATGGATGGATGGATGGATGGATGGATAGATAGATAGATAGATAGATAGATAGATAGATAGATAGATAGATAGATAGATAGATAGATAGATAGATAGATAGATAGATAGATAGATAGATAGATAGATAGATAGATAGATAGATAGATAGATAGATAGATACTAACTCTATTGAACAATTTAAAGCTGTTTTTTTTTTATTGAAAGCAATTTGAATAACTATAAAAAGTGGGCGATACTTCGGGGCACTCAGATCAGTAATTCAAAAAACAGGACTGGCAAAATAAAACTGAATAATAGAAAAATGAAAAAAAAAAAGAAGATACTGTATGTGCAATATTCGGCCTCTGTCGGCACGGTACTTGATGACAAAAAGGATATATAAATACTTAACCGCCTTTGACCCTTATCATTATGTAATAATTTATTTCTAAAAAAAAGGTGGGGGGGGGATGGGAAAATGTTTGGGGGACTAAGACCAATCATTCACATCTGGGCCTCTCTGATAAAAGAAAATGGTTATTGAAGAAGAAAGCGACCAAGCATTGTTGGCCCTGCACTTGATGATGAAAAGTGGTCAAATTGTGTGTCCTTAACCCCAGCTGACCCCTCGTCTATGACGTCACCTAGAGATCGCCTTGGAGTCCCCTTCCTATTGCTGACTGAAGACAGTTTAAACGCGGCGGCTTTTTCTGCCACTGCTTCTTTCACTGGTAAGCTGGCGTTTTCAGTGCCACTTCTACAATTATTTAATGTGTTGAGGATAAGTCGCTAGATATATTTACCTGAACACATGAGGATATTTAATAGTAAATGTTTGAAGATGCAAATTTTAACGTTGATATCCTGGCCACTTACTTTTTGGTTAGGTCATTGACAGTTCATCCGTTAAGGTAAACTTCATGGTGGTGTTAAAGAAGTTGAAGTTAGTCGGTGACTTTCTTTCATTACTTTTGGCTGTTTTCTGCTTTGCGGTGCTAGTCTAGGCGTCGCAGGTTACCAGATAATTGGTTTCCGAGCTGGGAAACACTAGGCTGCACATTAGAGATTTCATCTCACCAATTAATTCCCGGTATTTCATTGAATGTTTGTTGTAGTTTGTTGTTAATAATTACTTTAGCCATTCTCCATGTTTTAGCTCCATGCAGTTGTACTCTTTTTGTTTGAATGCACTATATTTCAAAATCACCAGATAGTGACAGTTGAGGAAAAAAAAAAGTTTTACAATTATATTCATCACAGTTTGATACATTTTGCGACATTTACCAGGATGCAAATGTAAAGCTGCCATTCTTATGCACTTACTTTTCTTAAGAATGTGTAGACAACAGGGTCATTATGTTTTTGCATACAATAGTTCTTTGATCTCTGGTCAGGAAATATATGAGTAAATCAATTTTTGTTTATAAAGGGACACTATCCCTGATACATTTCATGACAGGTGACACAAAAGTTAGCTTTCCTGTTTCTTTTCAGTAGTTTCCCTTCTACCTAAAAGTAACTTTCCCCCAGGGCAAGGCAGTCTAAAATGAGTACCTGTAAGTATTCTGGGAAGTATGGCTGGCGAAAACTAAATGATCTGGAAAATATGTGTCTACAACAGCCATTCTCACCTTATGGTTCACAACCCTTGTTTAGGTCGAACGTTCCTTTCACAGGGGTCGCCAAAGACCATCGCAAAACAAATATTAATTAAAGTTATGAAGTAGCAACAAAAATAATTGTATGGTTGGGGTTGCCACTGCATGAGGAGCTGTACTAAACGGTCGCCACAGCATTAGGAACTATTAAAGGGTCGCCACAACATGAGGAACTGAATTAAAGGGTCGCTACAACATGAGGAACTGTATTAAAGGGTCACGGCTTTAGGAAGGTTGAGAACCACTGGTCTAGAACTATAAGTACAAATGTCATGAAAAGGGTCCTTTACAAATAGATAACTGACTGAAAGTATTTGTTCTGGTGTGTCTATTGCACATGACTCTAAGTGTAACCAGAAATGACTACATCTGGAACAAGTTGGGATAGAACCAGTACTAAACTACATTAAAAAAATACAGATCAAATGGTTCAGACATGTGTCAAGACCTCCACCAGACTGTGCACCACAGAGAGCCCTGTCAGTTTTACACAATGGAAGCAGAACTAGAGGTCCACCACGCAAGTAATGGATAGATGGAATATCTAAAGTCATAAATACCAGCATTTGCATGGTACACATCAAAGTTCGCACTTGATGACTCTTCAAAATTTGAGGCTGAAAGGCAGAACAGGACTAGAGAAGAAGAAGAAGAAGGGTACATGACTAGAGCATGAGAACAGTTGCTTCATCATTGATTGCTGGTATGCATAGTTGATGATGATATTCAGGCTGTGCAGTAAATGTCTCTTTAAGGATATGCTTTTGAAAAGAGCTGAGTCTTATAGAATTTTGAACACATATCCTAAAGTGTGTGAGAGGAACATTCTAACACCTCAGCCATTCATTCAATCAGATATATTCACCATTTCAGTTATGGCTTCTCTACAAGTTCATTGGATGTCATGGTAGGAAAGTGACTGGACTTGTGCCTACCGGGGCAAATATAGATTTGAATATGCAGTCTGACCTAGGCTGAAAAAAATGTTATGGGATGTTAAGGCACCTGGCTTGATGTTTATCATCCATTGAGCGCTGATTGTTTTATAAAATCTTGAACCATGTACCTATTATACCAATGGAATCTTTAAAGCTCCAGAAGTCTGAATTAAATTGGTAGGCGAGGAAACCAAACAGTCCGATCCAATTGCTCTTATGAACTCATCACTAAAGACCGTTGATTCTTACCCCCAAGAATGGATACATGTCTATACTGATGGATCAGCATTTAAAGCTACCATTAAAGCAGGTTACGGAATCTACATAGGTTATCCCGATGGATCTGTTGAAGAGATTTTTGATGCATGCGGGGAATTCTGTTCAAATTATGAAGCTGAAATAATTGCACAGGAAACAGCAGTATACCACCTAAAGACTGTAATGGATGTTTACCCTTTAAAGGTCCAAAATATTGTCATCTTCACAGATTCAATGTCTGCCCTTCAAGCTCTGGAGGGCAGTGAACGCTGCAGAACTGACATAGCCAAGATAATCTTGGATGCTGATCAGCTTATTACCTCATACAACATCAGAATAGTGATGCAGTGGATTCCAGGTCACTCCGGCACACCAGGTAATGACAGAGCTGACACATTGGCAAAGAAAGGAGCAACACAAGAACACCCACCTACAGCGACAACCCTCCAGACAGCAAAAACACTTATAAGAGCTATAAACAAAGAGACTTGGTTGAACAAATGGGCCATGGGAGACACTGGAAGAGAGGTTTATAGACATATGACTGGCCCTGATCCTAATGACAGCATTAACCATCTAACAAGAAGGGACCAGGCCACCATCTTCAGACTTAGAACGCAACATACTCCACTCAATGGACATCTAAACAGAATACAGCCACAACACTCCCCAGAGTGCCAGCTATGTAACTACCCCTACGAAACTGTTGAACACCATCTCTTTGAGTGCCCAAAACTCAGTGAGACAAGAAGAATGCTACTCCCTCCGAGACCAGACAAGTGGAACACCTTGTACGGGGGAAAAGAACAGCTTGTGAAAACATGCACATTCCACTACATGGCATTGGGCCAAAGGGCGAAAGCTCATGCGCCGCTGGATTGATAACAACAACATACCAATGGAATGAAAGGGTCCTTTTCCTATTTTACAAGTTCAGTGCAATGAATGAGTGGCAATGATGCACCAGAACAAGGGCTCATTCTGGTCAAGCGCTATCTGCATCTCGGTGTGGTCATGCTAGACATGGGTTCCAAACCAGAGGCATCATCTGCCTAGGTACAATTAGCACAGCCTGGACAATCCTTCAAAACAGTAGCACCTCTGCGTGAGAGGTGAGAAACCCACAGTCTGTATATAAATAAGCCAGATCTGAAAACAGATGTGCATACATCACTGAAGTCTTGGAACAAGACCAAAGTCCAGACACAGAGAATGAACCAAAACTTGGTGCTGAAGTTAACTACTAATGAATAAATTAATTAATTAATAAAAAAGAAGAAGAAGAAGAAGAAGCAAACGAAGAAGAAGAAAAAAAAGAAAAAGAAGAAGAAGAAGCAGGAGGAAGGAAAAGAGGAGGAGAAAAAGAAGAAGAAGAAGAAAAAGAAGAAAAAGAAGAAGAGGAAGAAGAGAAAGAAGAAGCAGGAGGAAGAAGAAGCAGGAGGAGAAGAAGAAGAAGAAGAAAAAGAAGAAGAAGAAGAAAAAGAAGAAAAAGAAACAGAAGAAGAAGAAGAAAAAGAAGCAGGAGGAAGAGGAGGAGAAAAAGAAGAAGAAGAAGAAGAAGAAGAAGAAGAAGAAGAAGAAGAAGAAGAAGAAGAAGAAGAAGAAGAAGAAAAAGAAGAAGAAGAAAAAGAAGAAGAAGAAAAAGAAGAAGAAGAAGTCGACGAAGAAGAAGAATTAAAAGCTGAGATGTATGCATCTAGACTATCAGTTGTTCATATGGAAGTATTGTGACTGTTAGTTGCAGTGCATTCCAGTTGTGTGGCCAACAGCTGAAGAAAATGCCAGCAGTTTATAACTTGAATGGGGAGGAGGAGAAAGGCATTCCCTTCCTGCAGTCCCGATCTGTGAAACCCCTGGCCAAGCATAATTTTACACAAATATTAAGTGAGTACTCATGTCTGCTTTTTCAGTCTGAAAGCTCCCTTTTGGACGTAGAGAACTTTCCATTTGTTATTTGTGTGTCCTTTGCTAGACATTGAAGAACCAACACCAGCATTTTTAGTTTCAACCCACAATTTTACAATCAGTAGCTTGCCATTGCTTTCTAAACAGTCTCAATAACCATTGTCATTAATCAAAGCAAGGTGGTCTGCTGCCAAATTGCCTGTAGCTGAAATTGAAAAAGGTACCCCAGAATTATAAAGGGCAATTGCAATGCCTTAGCCTCAGATGCCAACATCTAAAGACATGCTAGAAAGGTTTTAAGTCAAAAGGATCGACTTCATACACTGGGTTTTATCTCTTGTGACTCAGTCTCAGAATAGCAAGCTACTTCTTACGAGCTTCTCACAAAGCACAACCTCTCATCATCATCATCATCATCATCATAAACCACTTCTGCCGTTAAGTGTTGGGGGGAGGAATAATTTGCGATCCAGTGCACGTTGGCTGCCACTGGCTATTGTCATGCTGTGAAGGCGTAGAGTGTCTTTAATGTTGTTGATCCATGTTTTCCGTATCCGTCCTCTTGCCTTGTAGCAGATCTTTTGAGATGTAGTGCTTGTGATGGTATTTGATTTTGCACAACCTCTAGTACCTCCAATGATGATCCCCATGGATCTGCGTACAAGAATTCGACACCTGAATCAATGATACAGTTTGCAAAATCAACATAAGTTCTCCATAGTGCATGGCAAATGGCTTAACTACTCACCATGCATACACACAGACAAGCCAACACTTTCTCCAGATAGGGCCACAGTACTGGCATCATCAGTTTGACATGACATCACTACCCCAGCCTAAGGATACATTCCATTTTCATTTTGACAGTCCCATTTTTTCAATGTGTTCCCTGCCGTTCCCTAGGAACTCCCCCCCCCCCCCCCCCCTTCTGCAAAAATCATAGGAAAAAATTAAGAATAGAATGCATAAATAGGTATATACACATATACAAACTAAAAGGGAACACTAGAGAAAAACATTTAAATTTTATTAATTAGTTTGGCTTTTACAGTTGACAGGTTTATATAATCTCTAAAATCTCATCTTTTTGAAATGTATTAGTTCCTTAATGAAAGTAATAATAATACATTTTAGAATTGTTTTAGAGGGGTGGGTTGAGTAAGGTGGAGGAAAAAAAAAGGGTAGGGGGGAACTGACTTGCTTAGGATGTTCTATTTTCAGCTCAGAATACTGTGGAAAACAAAATAGAGAACAACATAGAAACAGAAAGTACGACAGACCTACTTACATTTTAGCTAGTGAATGTCCAGTATGTATCCACATAACCACCTGAAAATTAGTGAATGAACTTAACATGTATATTCTTTCTGTCCACCCAGGATATTAGCCGTATTCTTCTTGTCCACCCATGATAGCTGCAGTATTCTTCTTGTCCACTCAGAATGTTAGCAATATTATCCTTGTCCACCCAAGATATCCTCAGTATTCTTCTCGTCCACCCTGTATATTCGCCATATTATCCTTATCCACCCAGTACATTCACAATAGTATCCTTGTCCACCCAGGATATCCGCAGTATTTTTCTTGTCCACCCAGTATATTTGCAATATTATCCTTTTCCACCCAGTATATTAGCAATACAATCCTTGTCTACCCAGTGTATTATCAATATTATCCCTGTCCACCCAGTATATTATCAATATTATCTTTGTCCAACTAGTATATTACCCAATAAATTAGCAATATTCTTCTTGTTCACCCATTATATTCGCTGTATTATTCTTGTCTACCCAGTAAATTCGCAATATTATCCTTTTCACCCAGTATATTCACAATATTATCCTTGTCCACCCAATATATTAGCAATATTCTTCTTGTCCACCCAGTATAATATGAACTGTATTCTTCTTGTCCACCCATTTTCAGCTCAAAATAATAGTGGGATGTACTGTTTTCAGTTCAAGATATTGCATACAAAAGAGCCAGATCTGTAAAATGGATGTACACCCATAATTCATGCTATGGAACAAAACCAAAGTCCAGGAGTTGATGAACAATCAGAACTTTCTGCCAGAGTTAACAGCTGGTAAACACATAATATAAAATAATAAAATAAAAAGAAGAAGAAGAAGTAGAACAAAAAGACATGATTGTCCATCTAAAGTGTATGTTTACTTTCCCCAGGCAACAAGGACACAGCCACTCTGGTGATGTTCTACGACCCAGACTGTATTTACTGTCAGTCAGCCAAACCTCACTTCCTCAAAGCTGCCAAGACCACAGCGGGCAAGAATCGTCTGTATGCAGCCGTGGACTGTTCCAAGGAGCCTCGTATGTCTACTGTTTTCTCCACTATTGTTTATTACTTCTTCCATTTTTAGAATTTGCTACTAACCTTTATAATAATTCTAAATTGTTTACCAAAAAAAAAAAAAAAATCTAAAAACTAAATCTAAAAACTAAAAAGTAGAACTAATTGGTTGCCCAGTAAAATACAATTACAACTGCCACAATGCATGTTGCAGCTATAAGACTTTTATCAGCATACAGTAGAAACAGACAGTGATATAATTACATTCAAGAATACACGTTGAGTGTTGGGCTCACAACACTCCAAAGATTCCCATAAGCACTTTATTCTCATCTTCAGCAGCCAGCAAAGAGTTCTATTTCAAATGGTGCCAGTAGCAGTTTAAAAAAAAAAAAGGATATGTCTATCTTTTCAAGTTGCACTGTGTAAGTTATTTATGAATTCTTCTATTTTGTACCTAGTCAAAGAATACATAAAATAACTTATATAATGTAGTTGAAATAATTACATAAAAAGCTTTTTTGGTGAAGACTGTCACAATCTCCATCCACGCTTGAAATAGCAAAAGTTGTATTCTCACGAGTTATTGTGGGAGTCAGACTAAAGTAAATTAGTTTAGAGATTATTTTTTTGGTGTATTTTCCTCCACTTACATCGAGTATTGCTTTGCCACTTAGGGCTGTAAGGTGATGTCGAGAAGTTTACAAGCCACAGTATCAGCTTGACAGTAAACCTTACTGCTGGTTTCACCAGGTGTCATGTGATGTTTTTTGAAGCTATTTTTTCTTTTTCTTTTTTTTAATGTTTGTTTACAAAGACTGGTTGAAACTGCTTTAAAAAAAAATCTATTGTGCACATTTTAGCTATGTTCATTTGGTTTCTTTGGGTATCAATTTGACAGTAATCATCAGTACTTTTTATATTTGGAAGACTGTGAGAAGCTGATTCCTGCAGATCAGTGGCAGTTTATGTGTCTGATAGACTTGGTAATTTTCCTGCATTCTTTAGTTTGCAATTTTATTAAATGAATCTGTTCTGAAGACATGACTAGTTCAAGTTACATTGTCCTTTATGTGTCATCACTGGGTGCTTCTACAAGGGTTGTTTCTTGTTAATTCCCATGTTAGCAGATTGTGAGCTTATTTAGCCATTTTCTGTCCCTGTGCAGCAGTAGTTCTGACCTGAAGAATTTCGCCCACATAATAAATAATGAACTATCTCGTCATCCCCTTGTGGGATGTAATTGTTAGCTATTTTAAAGCCCCACCCTAGCTTTTGCCGGGGGCCCTAAATATAGCTGGGCTTGAAATATGGCCTAGCAGTTAAACAGGGTTTCCGGGACCTCTCTATGGGTGATCCTCTGCATGGTGGCACTTTGTGTCACCGGGTGTTTATCTCTTGTGTGATATCCTGGTGGGGTACAATTACCCACCTACCTGCCCAGATAACTTATTTGTGAAAACTGGAAAGACAATGGCAGATGAAGCAGAGACAGTTCAAGAGACAAATTGCTGGGCAATCCAAGATGGTGGTCTGGAAGAATATAATTAATAACATTGATTCAGGGCATCACACCATTTAGCACAGCATCTAATGAAGAGTGCGTTCTCGGCAGAATGAAGGGACACAATGTGGTCCCAAAAACCGAGTCACCACAGTTCAGCTCATTGTCTCCCTTGTAATTTATTTCTTATAGAGCTGTTGCGAATTATGTATTCAGTATACTATTTTTTAAGAGACAGTGTCATAGTGGAAAGTACAGTCTTACTCCCTAGCAGGGGGAAGATTAGAATCATACAAGGAATTCAGGAGATGTCTTCAAGTAGGAAATACAAAAAAGAAGGAACAAGTAGGGGAGTTACATCAACACGTCCTGCCAGTCAACTGCACAGTAGCATTGCCCGTCATCCCATTGTGAGATGACATTTTTCATTATTTTGAAGCCCCACCCTGGCTCTTGGCAGGGGCTGCAATATAACCCGGCCATAAATATGGTCCAATGGCAGAATGCGGTTTCCGGGACCTCTCCACTGGTGATCCTCATCCACAAGGTGGCACTTTGTGTCATCGGGTGGTTATTGCTTGTGTGATGTCCTGGTGGGGCAAAATTTACTACTACATTGCACATTAATTGATACCCCCCTCCCCATGTGGGACGAATTTTTCGTTATATTGAAGCCCCACGCTAGTTGTTGCTGGGGGCCCTAATACAACTTAGCAATTGAACAAGGTTTCTGGGACCTCTCAACGGACGATCCTCATCCGAATTGTGGCACTTTGTGTGACTGGGTGTTTTTCACTCGGTGTGACGTCCTAGTGGGGTTAAAGGTCAGTCAGTCACTGGCAGCAGGTTACAGTGTAATTGTAGGGTTTCCCAATATGACTGCTTTATCTGACTGAACAGAATTAGTAGTTCACAGTTCAGTCTTAGAGAGGAAGCATTCTAAGGAAGAAAAAAAAAAAGGACTCACCCTATCATCTACTACAGTGACCTAGATCATGATTTGCTACTCCTGCTTCCTGAAGGTTTTCACCTCTGAGTCACAACAGTAAAGAGCTATTCAGCTAAGTTTCCTCAGAGGCCAAAATGTTCAAAATAGGGTGTCATCACGGGCTAGCCGAGCCCCTGCATAGAAAGATCATTAATACAGTACAACTGGCAATGAACCCAGACATCTTGCTAGGCCTCCGCGAGCCAGATTTGACATGTAGGTCGTAGGCTGAATAGCTCGGACCTACTACTGTATAACTGATGTTCTTCTGTATGGAGTTGAAATCTGCTGTATGAATGAGACTATGCTGAATAAGTGGAGCAAAACTGTAAAACATGGGCCTTGTATTGTGAATTTTTCCAGAAGTCAAAACTCTCATTAAGAGAAAATCAGAAACAGACTGGAAAAACAACACTGGTTATGACTACGGAAAAGATTTTCTGAGGCACTTGAACAGAACAGACCAAGTCACAGTTTTTCGCTTACGCACTGGACACTGCAGACTCAATAAACACTCATATAAATTAGGTATGAGCCAAACAGCTCTCTGCCAGTGTCTTCGTGCTGAACAGACTCCAGAACATGTCCTGCAAGACTGTCCTCTCCTGGCGGAGCTGCGGAGCGACATATGGCAACACCCAGTAGAACTGACAACTAAGCTTTGGGGAAACCTAAGAGACCTTGAAAAGACATCCCAGTTTATGACCCACAGTGGATTATGCGCATGACCAAAGATCGCTGAAGAAGAAGAAGAAGTATTGTGAATAACTGCATATAAACGGCAGTGTACAAAATTCATAATCTGTTTATGTCACCACTGATTACTGGCATTATGAAGGCTTATAGACTGCATTGGTTGGGGCTTATAGAGAGAATCGCAGGTGACAAAGGGACACAACTGCATGCACAAAAGCGATGAAAAGGAATAGACCACAAGGCACACCGGGAAGGTGGTGGAGATATTATGTGCAAACAGTTCTACAAACTTTTGGAGTCACCAACTAGAAAGAGAAGACCAGTCACAGAGGTGAATGGATGTGGATAGTTGAATGGATGTGGATAATAACTGCAGTAGTGAGCCTCAAGGGCTCAGAATGCTGAAGAACAAAAAAGAAGATAAACTGAAATGTGCATTTCAGCCTAATGCAAATAATGCACAGCATAATTGTAAAAATGGGCCTTCTTTTATGAATAATTGTACTTTTCATCATCATCATCATCATCAATTTCTACTTCTGCTATTAAGTGTCATGGGGAGGAAAAGTTTGTGATCTATTACTTGATGAGCAGTAATAGCTGTTCTCATTCCATGTCTGTGTATAAGCTCTTTAATGTCATCAATCCATATTCTCCTAGGTCGACCTTTTGCTTTCGCATCAGATCTTTTTATGTGTAGCGCCTGCATTAGTGGTTGTTCTGGTTGCATTCTTACTAGATGACCATACTATTTGATTTTCTTCTTCTCAATGAATTATCTTCTTCTTCTTCTTCTTCTGCCTTTCTATTCCCCAATGGAGCATAGGCCCTCAACCAACGGCTCTCCTGTCAAATCCGGACGAAGAATAAAAAGCCTTGGACGACTTAGTCAGAGTTCTCTCCCTGCAAACAGTGATCGGAAAAGCCAATGAAACAAACGACACACTTACCTATCATCATACGGTTGCGTGTAGGGCTGCGTACGGTTGCGTGAGGCATCGTGAAGGAATGCGTGGTCATCATATGGTTGCGTGCAGGGTTGCGTACGGTTGCGTGAGGCATCGTGAATGGTTGTGTAGTCATCATGCGGTTGTTGGGTTAGAGTTAGGGGTAGGGTTAGGGTTAGGGTTAGGGTTAGGGTTTTATTATTTCCAATTTCGTCCTTTTCAGGACGAAATTTTTTGTCATTTGAAGCCATACTCTGGCTTTTGCCAGGGGCCGCAATATAGGCAGGCCATACATATGGCCAAATGTCTGAACACGGTTTCTGGGACCTCTCCACGGCGATCCTCATCCGCATGGTGGCACTTTGTGTCATCGGGTGTTTGTCGCTTGTGTGATGTCCTGGTGGGGTAGAAAGTCAGTCAGTCAGGGTTAGGGTTAGGGTTAGGGTTAGATGTGAAAATTTTGACGTAGGGTTTCGAAATACTGGCCGACAATCTGATGTTTGTGGGCGTGGCGCCACTGAAATTCTGCTAAATATGACGCCAATAGTGTGCGGCTGGTGCCCAATCGTTGGCGAATTGTGCGTTTGACCAGCATCCAGAGGCCCTCAATTGTTTGTGTGTGTATGTGACTGTGTACGGCGTCGACGAAGTTGGTCTGGTGGACTACTACCTCGTGCAGATAGATGCCATGCCGTAAGTTTGCCACGTTGCTGTAGCCTCGCCAAGCGTCAGTCACGATAGTCGTTCCCGGCAACTAAGTCGTGCGTCGGTAGAACGATGTTAGTTATGTGAGTGCGTCTAACTGCCATGTTGCTTGTGTCGTTTGTTTCGTTGGCTTTTCCGATCACTGTTTGCAGTGCGGCCAAGGGAGAGAACTCTGACTAAGTCGTCCAAGGCTTTTTATTCTTCGTCCGGATTTGACAGGAGTACCCAACTTCCTTCTCCAGTTCTTTTCTCCTTGTGTTTTTTGGCCTTCCTTTGTTCCTATGCCCCTGTGGGTTCCAATGCAATGACATTCTAGTTATGCTGTTCTCCTGTCTTCTCAGTGTGTGTCCTATCTAACGCCAGCGTCTTTTCCTCACCTCTTGGAGCCTGTTTAGTTCTCTCCGAAAGCTCTACATTAGTTATTCTATTATACCATTTAATTTCTTCTATTCTGCGCAGGCACCAGTTAATGAATGTTTGTAGTTTATTAGTAATTGCCTTAGTTGTTCTCCATGTTTCCGCCCCACACAAAAGTACTGATTTGACATTAGAATTAAAAATTTTTAGTTTAGTATTTATTTTAATTTATTTTGACCTCCACAAATTCCCTAGTGCAATGAAAGCTCCTCTTGCCTTTCATTATCAGTGTCTACAAAATGCTATTCGAGTGATAGTGTGTTGTATAAACACAATTGTGAAAACTAGGGGCTTATGTTATGAGTAATTGCAATATATGAACTAGAACCTGCAGTTTGAGGAAGATTATCTAGATGTAGTGGGTAGAAAGTATGTGTATTGGAGCCATAATGTATTAATGGCACACATTGAAAGTTATGAAAACCATGCTTGAGGGAATAGTTGAAGACAACGAAGCAAGTGGTGGACACTACAACAAGAGGGAGGATAACTTCGAGGTGTGGATAATCAGCAGTCCAGGAAAATATTACAAAAAAAGGGCTAAAAACAAAAAGTATTGGACATCTTTTGCAGCCAGTATTTTTTGTGGAAATTACATCTAGTTGACTGACTGATTAGGTATTCCCGCTGTGGATTCTGAGGCCCTATTAAAGCAGAAGAAAGAAGAAACCCGCTAGGTACAACATAGTCATCTCTTTATGGGATGCAATTTTTGCTTATTTAAAGCCCTACTCTGGCTCTTGCTAGGGGCCGCAATATAGCCCAGCCATAAATATGGTCTAATGGCTGAACGCGGTTTCTTGGATCTCTCAACGGGTGATCCTTATCCACATGGTGGCACTGTGTGTCATCGGGTGTTCATCGCTTGTGTGATGTCCTATTGGGGTAAAAGAAGATAGATGAATAGAAACCCGCTGCCCCCCTAACAAGCATGTTGTAAAATTCAACTGTTTAGGGGGGCTACCTTCGAAGTTGGAGTGCATCTGCCTAAGAGGCGGGAAACCAACAGTCTGCTTGCAGATTAGCCAGATCTGTAAAATGGATGTGTATGCAAACTCAGGTTCCTTTGAAAAAATGAGAGTCTCGAAATTGATGAGCAATTAGAACTTCATGCCAGAGTTTACAGTGGGGTAGGCCCAAAGAAGAAAATGGATTTAACATGAATTTCTGGATCAATCCAGGATATCGTCTAGGAAATCGTGATAATATCTACATCTGACATCTGTTGGAATTTATAAAAGAATGGAGCTAGCTGTATGTGCTTGATTTTCCTGAAGGTATATAGCATGAAATACCCCAGTGTTCATGGTATATAGATGTGTGTAACACCCTACCCTGTCCAGGCTTCAGGTTACTTTGGAACCGGTGGCGGCCACAATATAACCGTATGGTTCAACTGGTTTTCTAGGATTCCTACCTGGGGGATTTTTATCCATATTGTGCTTCTTTGGGTCACCAGTGTAGTCTTGGAGTGAGTCACTGCTGTGTGAGTGTACTCTATGAGCGAGTCACTGCTGTGTGAGTGTACTCTATGAGTGAGTCACTACTGTGTGAGTGTACTCTGTGAGTGAGTGTCTGCTGTGTTAGTGTATATGAGTGAGTCACTGCTGTGTGAGTGTACTCCATGACTGAGTCACTGCTGGATGTACTTTATGAGTGTCACTGCTGTATGAATGTACTGTATGGGTGAGTCACTGTTTTATGAATGTACTCTGTGTGTCAGTAACTGGTGTATGAATGTGCTATGTAAGCGAGTCACTGCTGTGTGAATGTACTCCATGAGTGATGCATTGCTGTGTGAATGTACTCTAAGATTGATTCACTGCTTTACAAATGCACTTCTAGTGCATATATATCCTGATTCATCTTTGATTGTCTCCACGCCTGCTCCAGAGCTGTGTGAGCTGGAAAACATCAGATCATTCCCAACGTTCAAGCTCTTTGTAGGAGGCAGGTTTCTCGCCAGGTACAACCAGTCTCCCAACTTCATCAACATGAGAAACTTTCTGGAGAACGCTCCCCTGGAAAACAGGATCATCCCAGCGCAGGTGAAGCACGACATTGTTTATGTGACTGCTAGCAATCTGCTTAATAATATGAAGGTAGCCACCCCAAGTCAGTGAGTAGGTTCCGACTGTGCTGTTGTAGTGACCCCCCAGTGCAGACAGTGTGTGGCCTATTACATCTTGATCCCTACAGTTAAAATAAATACACTTTATTATCCGATTATCCAATTATTTATTATCCTAGTTAAAATAGCTAATTATCTTTGGTGTGAATCTTACTAATTCAGGATTAATTCCTCTAAATAATTACTAGTGTACATGAATAAGAAACATGAAGTCTGTTAAAAATTCTTTGATAGCAGTCCTTGGTACTTATGTATGGCTTTACATTAGGTGCGCATGATTAAACGCTATTTCTCATTGTTAAAAAATTTAGGTTTGTATTAATGCAGTGCATTTGATCAACTTCAGTAGTTCTGTTCATGCTCAGTACTTATGTAAAGTCTCAAATTATACATTTATTAGGAAATACTAGTTCTCATATAGTTCTTAATGAATGCCATCTTCATTGTCAGCCTCAATTATTGTTTCACATGTAAATTATGTTTATCAAGTACTCGTTATTAATAACATATATAATTCTTCATTAACATTCTTCTTTTCACCAGCCTTGGTAGTTCTCAATTAATCTTGTCCTCAGTAGCAGCCTTAGTTTCAATCTTGGGTAGTTCTGTACAGCTTTGGATTAAAAAGATCAGATGGAACAATAGTTCTGATAGAACATACAGTTCCTAATCAAAGTCAATAGTCAGTAAGTCTCAACAGTTCTTTGTTCTTATTTAATATCATCCCCAACATCAGCCTCAATAGTTCTTACTCAGTTTCATCTTCTATATCAGCCTCAATAGTTCTTACTCAGTTTCATCTTCTAAATCAGCCTCAATAGTTCTTACTCAGTTTCATCTTCTATATCAGCCTCAATAGTTTTTAACTGATATCATCATCATGATCAGCCTCAATAGTTCTTAATTCATATAATCCACGATACTTGCCTCAATACTCAATAGTTTTTCATAAATGTCATCCTCGATACTGACCTCAATAGTTCCTAATTAATGTCATCCTCGATACTGACCTCAATATTTCCTAATTAATGTCATCCTCGATACTGACCTCAATAGTTCCTAATTAATGTCATCCTCGATACTGACCTCAATAGTTCCTAATTAATGTCATCCTCGATACTGACCTCAATAGTTCCTAATTAATGTCATCCTCGATACTGACCTCAGTAGTTCTTAATTAATGTCATCCTCGATACTGACCTTAATCAATAGTTCTTAATTTATGTCATCCTCGATACTGACTTAAATAGTTCTTAAATAATGTCATTCTTAACATCAGGCTTAATAGTTCTTACTTAACTTCATCATCTATATCAGCCTTATTAGTTTTTTACTATCATCATCACGATCAGTGTCAGTAGTTCTTAAATAATGTAATCCTGAATATCAACCTCAATAGTTCCTAATTAAAGTCACCCTCAGTACTGATCTCAATAGTTCTTCATTAATGTCATCCTCAAAATCAACCTCAATAGCTCTTAATTAATTTCATTATCTACATCGTCGTTAATAGTTTTTAATTGATGTCATCCTCAGTATCAACCTCGGTATTGATATGATACATACTTCTTAATAAGCAAAATCATTTTACATCAGCTTCAGTCATTTTCACAGTCACAGGTCATATTTAGCTTATTTAATTTACTGCTGGCACCCGGTGGAAGAATAAACACATACATTCTCTATTTAAAGTAATGAACGATACTAACTTAATCTTGTTCTTCACATCTAAATATCTCCTCATGCATAACTGATTTGTTAGTTCGCATAGATAAAAAGCCCAGTAGTTTTTCACACCTGTGTATGATAAAAGTTCTAATAGTTGTGAATAGCCACAGAGAAACTTTTTTGTTTGGTAATTAATTTGTGTATACTGAAGAACTTTTGGAATATAACACGTCAAGAGACATCATTACATACCACTGTGGGCAGTGCGCACTTCTCCATGTTATATATTATGGGTAACTCTTGCTAGTGAATGGTAGTTTCTAATTCTTACAATCTGGGCTCTCAATTTATTTGTAGGGAGAACATTGTAGGATTGGAACACTAATAACATGAAAGGTCTTTAAAATTAATGACTACAGTTGAAGATCCGAATATATTCATTAACAATCTTTGTAAATTGTTTAAAGTTCCTTATCCAGTATTTATAAATAGAACAAGTCAAATGAAGTAAAATATGTATTTTTTAGTTGGATTTTTGATCATATCATTTAGTGGAAGGAAGTATAATAACAGAGGGGCAAGAGCCGACTAACACGAAGATGGGCATAGGATGTAAGTGACTCCTTGAGTATGAAAGTACATGAAGCGGGAGAGCTGGCGAGAGACCGAGTTTCTTTCAGGCAGACCGTGATGAGAGCGAAGTTCTGCAAAGGACCTGCTACATGATGATGCTAACAACAGTTCAGTTCTTGCTTGTATCAGCTACAGCGGTTCTGTAAACTACTACTGTAACTCTTCATTGAATACCGGGCATGTACTAGAGAAATGCTGTATACATGCAGTAGAGGGATTTCAGGTTTGGCCGGTTGGCACTGCAGTAGAAACGAAGCTGTGTGGAACAGCGGAAGGCACGAGTCACCCCACAGACTGCCATGGCTTGCTCATTTGAAAAACCACTGGCAGAGACAAGAAAGAGAAGAAGATTGACTTCATCAGGTCCCTACCAGCCGAAGCTTCAAGTTACATCGGGCTGGTGTGGTTGTTTCAGGTACCCTGGTTATAAGTTAGAACATCTGAGCAGGTTACCTATATCTGGCATTTGCCCTGCTTGCTTGCCATCCTGTTGAGATTGTGTAATCATCAGGTGGTCACAGCCCAAAGGAAAATGGAAGGACAGACTTTGTTTTTGATAAACAGTGTCTAATAATAAGATCTAGTTCTCGTTAGAGATCCTGGAGTCTTTCTCCAAAGCCAGTCTATGGCTCATTGCTCATGTGTTTGATTTGTCTAAATAAGCTTTAGAAGTGGTGCTTTAAAAAAATTTATGATCAATACCTGGCTGATATTAAACTCTTAAAGGTTCTTAAAGCTTGTGCGTTACTTAATCTTTATGAAGCTGTGTCAGAAAATATAATCTTGTAAGAGATCCTAGAATAATTGAGGGCATCTGTTGCAAACCTTTGGTTTAAATCTCAGGTGTTTGATTTTGTCTGAAAACAGTGCTTGTAATGAATTCTTGATTGGCACCTGACTGTTAAGCTGCAGCCCATTTGTTCTTGAACTCTTGTAGGAATGTCTGTTTGCTGATATGTAGGTGATCTATGTAACGGGACATTGAAGTCAGCGTTATGTTTGTCACCTACATCTTTTTGCTAATAAAAGTAACGCTTTGGGTTGAACACTTTTGTTTTCTGTTGAGTTCTGATTTATTGCATGTTTTTTTATCTCCCTTTTTGTGTTGAGATCATTAGGGAGACACTATGTGTACTTATGTAACCTGCACATTTTTCTGTTAAGATTGTTAAGGAGACATTATGTGTGTGTTTGTGTACACACATACACTGCATGTGTTTGGTTTGAGATCATTAAGGAGACATTATGCATGTGTTTGTGTATACACTTACCCTCCATATGTTTGTGTTGAGATCATAAAGGAGACATTATGCACGTGTTTGTGTATACACTTACCCTCCATATGTTTGTGTTGAGATCATAAAGGAGACATTATGCATGTGTTTGTGTATACACTTACCCTCCATATGTTTGTGTTGAGATCATAAAGGAGACATTATGCATGTGTTTGTGTATACACTTACCCTGCATATGTTTGTATTAAGATCATTAAGGCGACATTATGCGTGTGTTTGCGGACACACATACAATGCATGTGTTTGTGTTGAGATCATTAAGGAGACATCATGCATGTGTTTGTGGACACACATACAATGCATATGTTTGTGTTGAGATCAATCATTAAGGAGACGTTATGTGTTTGTTTGTGGACACACATACAATGCATATGTTTGTATTGAGATCAATCATTAAGGAGACGTTATGTGTTTGTTTGTGGACACACATACAATGCATATGTTTGTGTTGAGATCATTAAGGAGACATTATGCGCGTGTTTGTGTACACCCATATACTGCATATGTTTGTTGGTACCTTTACATCTTTCAAAACAATGGTGTCACACCTGGTAGGAGGAAGCATGGCAATCATAGCCCATGTCAGTTGTGAGTGTTAGCTAGTAAGACGTGTCCATGTTAAGGAAGATCTACTATGCTAGCAATTGTGTTGGGGCCTACTTTGAGAAGTTCTGCTGGCAGTTCGTCTTTGTCTGGTGCTTTGTTATTTTTTAAAGTGTGGATAGCTTTAAGGATTTCTTGTTTGCTTGGTGGTTCAGTAATGATGTCAATGTCCTGATAGGCTGGTTTAATATCTGGGGGATTTTCGGGATCAGGTCTGTTCAAGAGGTCGGAGAAGTGTTTAGTCCACTGCATGTCTTGTTTTTGTTCTGTGGTGAGGAGTCTGCCTTGGTTATCTCTGAAGGGTATGCTGTGATAATTGTTTCTGTTTCCACAAATTTGCTGGGTAATTTTGTGTAGGGTTTGTAGATCATGTGCTTTAGCAGCATTTTCTGCTGTTTCTGCAAGATTTCCCATAAATATTATTTTGTCAGCACTCTCACTTTTCTTATTTAGTTCGCTATATTATAACATAGTGAATACTTAGAATGCCTTGGACAGCCAAAAAGAGCAACCAAGAGGTTTTGAAAGAGATGGGAGCCCGAAGACAACTTATAACAGACATCAGAAGGAGAGTCATCATTTTTCGGCCTTGTTATGAAAAGAGGGAAAATAGAACATGTTGTGACCACAGGAAAGGTGTGTGGAAGGAGGGATAGAGAAAGACAACGAGAAAAAATTATTGACAGTCTTGTTGCATGGCATGGAGGTGTGTCGGCAC